CCGCCCCGCGGCCCGCCCCCCCGCGCCCGCCCACCGGAGCCCGTCGCCAGGACGCGCCGCCTCATTGGCGCCCGCCGCCGCCGCCGGGACAGCCGGGAAAGGGGAGTGCTGCCGGGGAAGGAGGCGGTGCCGGTCGGGGCGGCGGCGGCGGCGCCCAGCGGCTCCCCCCTGCCATCGGCCGCGGCGGCGCCCAGCGGCTCCTCCTTGCCATCGGCCTTCTCGTCCCTTGGCGGGGCGGGGGGAGAGACGGACGAGCGCCGGCCGCCGCCGCCAGAGCGAGGCCCGTCGGCTGAGGTAAAAAACCCGGCAGTGTTGAGGTAAAACTGCTAATGCTGAGGTAAAAATTCCTAATGCTGAGGTAAAATTCTTAATAATGAGGTAAAAATTCCTAAAGCTGAGGTAAAATTCTTAATAATGAGGTAAAAATTCCTAAAGCTGAGGTAAAATCCCTAATACTGAGGTAAAGACCCCTGTCCTGCCGCTCTAGGGCCTCTCAAGGGGGACCCGGAGCCCCCTTCCCGGGGAGGGCGGCCTGTGAGGGACCGGGCCGCTCCAGGCAGGGCCGGCGATTTCCTTCTTTTGACCCATAACGGAGCCGGGAAGAGGCGCTTTACTCCTCGGCCACAGGGTTTTCTGCAGCCTCCCGCCCTCAGGTTTCTTTAGCCAGTGTATGGTTGCTGTCCGAATCGTTTGCGCCCTTTTTTTTTTTTTTTAATTTTTGAAAGTGTATTTATACGTATAGAGGCTAGCACATGTAGATAGTATTGTTAAATAGCATAAATTCTCTTTAAATTCATTTACCTGCTGGCTTGGTGTTTGGTGGTTTATTTTCGGTTCTTTTTCCCAAAATACAACTAGTGGTGTTAATACCAATATTTGGTTTGAAAATACAAATATGTGTTTGAAAATACCATCCACTGTAACTCCTGTATTTCTGACAGGTAAAAAAAAAAAAAGACTCATATGAGCAGCAGTTCTCCTGTGGTGATATGACCAAAACCCTCTGAGGGGGGGGTTTTTCAGTCTTTTTTTAAGAAATGAGCTTAAGGACAGTTTGAGAGCTGATTGGTTTGTGCAGGCAGTCAGTGCCTGAACCCTCTGAACGTTACTCATCCCTCAAAGGATTCCTAGTTTTTGTCCTACTCAGCTTCCCCTCCAGGTACGTGGGGCTGACATAAGGCAGGACGTGGGACTGTGGCAGATTCGATTCTAAGCTGTCCTGAAACTACTTTCAGTATTGCTCATTTTCAGCCAGGTAAGTTCCCTGGTCCAGCTCACACCCGAGGAACCTGGAACACTAGTTAAAATTAAAGCTCACTGCAACCGAGGTATAACGCTAATGGACGTGAACAGTTTTGCCTCTCATCTCTCAGTATGCCTCTTGCATATATTAAGAAATACGTGTCCCCTAAATATTTTTACCTACAGACTAAGCAATTCCACTTCATTTCAATCCCGCCTTGTGTGTCACTGTTTTAAACCTCTCAAGAAGCTTATTTCTTCTCCCTGTGTTACCTGGAAATCATTCAGATCTTTTTTTTTTTTTTGGACTGCAGCACCCAGGACTGGACACAGTACGACAATTAAGGGCAACACAATTAAGGGCCAGCATCTGCTGTCATGCCTGTCACAGACTACATTCCTGTTTACACGTGCCAATACAAATATTTTTGAGTCAGTATGATCTATTCACGGTTTTGCTGACCTGTTTGAGGCCAGCATCCATTTCTGCTGACCTACCAAGCCAGTTATTTCTCCCTCAAGTAGACAGTAGTGCTACTTGAGAAACTATTTACTGCAGCAGCCCTAATGCTATCCCTTCAGTATTGCTGGACAGATGGACAATCAAGCAGCCAAGACATCTTTTACAATAAAATTCCACATTATTTTAAGGCAGAAAAATGTAGAATTTGTCATCTTTGTAAATCGATTGCGTCTCTCAGAAGAATTGTATTTAAAAATAAAACAACTAAAATTGAACTGTGCCACGGTTACGGAATGGTTGTGTAACTCTACATTTAGAAGAGAGATTTGTACATATTTGTAAATATATTTAAAACTTTAAATTCACTTGAACCAAACCAGCTAAAATAGTCTGAATGCAAGCATGAGTTGACAACAAAGAACGTAGGTCAGGGGGGTTTGATATACCAATACAAGGTAAATTTGGCAAAACCAGTGTAACTTCCTGTTGCCCCCATCAATGAGGGACAAAACCTGCAGATGCACGTTTTGCTTTGTTGTACGTACTTAATTCTGTTAGTTGTGTTTGTCGGTGACAGAGTGTAATTCTCAGATTTATTCAGGGTCTTGTGTGCTGCTTTTGATCTGGAATGAGCAGCTCATAAAGTTACTGATAGCGTATTCTGCAAAAAGGAAGTCCTAGCACAGTCTGATGGCTAAAATGGATTTTTAGGTGAAGCTGAGCGTGTCGTTTTACATGGTTGTACTTTGGTCTTCCCAGCATGAATTGAAATCCATCTTTATTAAAATACTAAAAATTTAAAACTGAAGCATGTGGTGTGGGTATTTATTAAAGGAACTGCCACAGAGGGGATGAAATCCAAGTCCACTGTGCTGTGCACATGGAGTTTTTTACTTTTCATTCCATCTGTGTCTAATAGCTATAGAATTAGTTCTTCAGTGTAGCTGAACAAGCTGGTAAATGATGCAGTCAGCTAGTTTATTTCTTATACGAAAAATGCATCATATGGTATGCTTTGTCCATTTTAATTGTCTACAGCATTTTAATGATGTGTTTTATGTCAGGTGATGTTTGTATGGTAACAGTTCAAGAAAAATACCGGCTTTCTCAGTGACTAAACAGAAATCTTACCTTTTCTTTATCAGCTGGCCAGCAGAGTTTAGGGAGTTGGCTTCCCATACATTTCCAGGTTGCTTTCTTTTTCGTATCTTGATCTGTAAAGTCTCCATCTGTGAGGAGATTTAAGACCACAACATAAGACTGTGAAACTGCTAATATTTCAGAGGGGCGTTGTTACTTGACCTTCTCCTATTCTCTGTTTAGCCTCTACTTTGTAAAAATTACTACTTCAAAACTGCTGGCGTGAATCCCAAGCAGAGATGGAGAAAAAATAAGCACTATGGGTATTTTTACAAAGATACATATCTATATATATTTCTGTATGTATTTTGTATAAATATACATAATATCAGTTTGTAAGGATGAAAATTAACTGTCATCAATGTTCACATGACCAACATCATCAAAGTTCACGTGACCAACAGGTGTGTTGGCAAATATATATATATATAAAAATGCACACATTCCATAGCTGCCACCCTTCCTGAAGATCTGCAAGCAATAATAAATTTTGGTCAGTGTTTCTCCACTGCTGTCTAAGGCATAAAGACAAGCCTGTCCTTTTTAAAGTTATACTGCCTTACTGTCCTACAAAAGGGATTTTTAAAAATAGCTTAGAATGGAATTTTAAGGGCCAGCTCCTCACCGGTAAGGCACTGTCCTTTTTAGCGCCCAAACAGTCAGAACAGCAGTCAGGAGTCTCTATAGCAGAGATTTTTGTACCAGTGACTCAGATTTGTGCTGCTTCATGGTTTGTTGGGGGTTTTTTGGTTTGGGTTTTTTTTTTTTGTGACTGAAGTTCCACTATAGACCATCTGTTCTGGCCACCCAGGCAGGAGTACGGAGCTCTTATCCACATTGGCATTCTGCTCTTTGCACAGCGGCTTATTGCACAGGATTGCTACGCAGATTCCGCTGTGGAAGTCCTGCTCCATCGAGTGATAAACCTACGTTTACAAAGCTGGAGCTTGTAAACGTTTCACGTAGCACATCTGACACGAATTTGTCTACAGTTAAGAATCACATAACGCTCCATGAAGGATCTCCTGTACGTCAGAAGAAGCATTATCAGGGGTACCGTGGGATTAGTCCAGATATTCCCTGTTTTAATACTAGTAAGCAAGAAAATACTTGATCTCCCCGGAGAACTAATTATTCAGACCAGCAGGAAAAAAGACCAGAAAGAGGAAAGTCTTCTGGAGGAAGCAGCAGTGCTGTTTGAAGAGGCAAATCAGCATGTGAACAAGGCTTTTCTGATACATCTTTTAACAAAAATGAACACAGTGGAATGCTGCATCAAAGTAACTGTCCTGTGCCATCAATTTGATTGAAACGGCACAATCTGGGATTTTTTTTGTTTACTTTTGAATCAAATTCATGTGTAACGAAAAAAAACCCCAACATTCTATTTAGTCTGTTTACCCTCCGGTTGACTTCCGATTCATACATTTTACATTCCGGGGAGGAATGGCACGTCCGACTTTTGGGCAAGGTTTATAATCTCCGTACCAAGTTTCTGTGATAATAAGCAAGTCCTTAATACGTGGACTTTTGCCCACTGTGTGATACCACTGCCGGTGCCCTCAGGGCCTGAATTCCTGATGCATGCATGGGGTAAGGATTTTAGGGTCCTAGACACAACTACCACAAATGGGAACTGATTCTTCCTCTCTGTTTATAGACACCGCGCCATTTGAAGTTGTTTCTCTAGTCAACGTGGCAAGATAAGTAGGAGCTTGCAGCTGCCTAGCTGCCTCCTCCTAGCCCAACTTACTCCCCAAATCACGTTTTATTCTTACTTTGTTCGCTTCCCCCAGCATCTTAACTTGCCTTCAGGGCCTGCGTGCTCCTTTTAAGCCTAGTTTTCTGAATATTTTGCTAGTTTGCCACCTGTTTACCTCTGCCGCCTTCGGTCTTTTGCAGTGTCTTCCTCAGCCAACGTCCACTCCCCAACTGCCTCTGAAGGTTCCGGTACTCCCCACCCCCGTGTCTCCACAGGACTGTCTCTGGCACCTGAAACTACACCTGGACATGGAGCGCCTGCCCGTGTGTCACCTTGTCTGCTGTGTCACCTTGTCTGCTGTGCCACCAGGTATGTCTGAATGCCGAGTGAAACGAGGCCCCTTTCCGTTTCTTCTCTTTGTGATCGTGTCTCCCTGTTTCAGTTACCTCTGCATTTCGTGCATTAAGATCTGTTAAGATCTCCCAGAGTAAAGCCATCCTCTTCGGATGAGCACCCTCTGCCGTGGCCCGGCTTCCTGCATCATCACACCCCAAAACCAACAAATAAAATGGGTAAAATACCAGTTAGGGTGTCCAGCAGTGCTTTAAGTGCAGGAGCTGCTGCTCTCCTAGCACTTCCCACATCTCCAGTGAAGCACCTACCAGCTCCCTCCCCAAGCTTGGTGCATCTCTCATGGTTATAGCAGCAGTTGATAAAACACTTGAGGTTTTCCCCAAGCACAAAGACCCTGAGGACGGAGTGGGTTGAGATAAGAGATACCATGTTCTCTTTGGTATAAAAGACAACAAGCAAATATTCGTGTTGTATTTTTTTCAACTTGCTTTATCTTCTTTATGTCATGGTACAGCTTTAGCCTCTTAGATGGTTTTAAATTTAAAGTTCTCAAATTATGGCAAACGAAAGCGTTCTTCTGTAGTCTGTAGTTCAGCTACAGCATTGTAGGGAATAAACATAAATAAGTTTAAAATATAAGTCCTAACGGGTTCCAAAGCTTGCCCTGACACTGCCGAGAAGCACAGGAAAGGAACCCATGAATACTGCTGAAATAGGGAAGACAGGGAAAGAAAGGTAACCAGCCTTTTCTAAAATCTTCCCAGACCTGCTGTCAGGGTTAAAGAAATGGGGTAATTTCGCCACTGAGAAAATGATGTGACTAAGGAGGTTTGCAGTTCTTTCATGACTCTGTACAGGAATTACAGATACCCTCTAAATAACTAGTGAGAAGGGACTTCACATGAGACAGGAACTGGAGTTGAAATCCAAAAGCTCTGAATCCTAGAAAAAGACAGAAATTTATTAGATTTAGACAGAAAATAGCAAAGAGCCACCTAAGTGGTCTCCTGACTAAACAGACCACACAAAAATGGTGTTCTTCTGTGCAAATGCTAGAACTTTAAAAAATTAGTTAAAGAGATGAGAATGTCCTGCTTTAAAGGAGCACATTGATAGAATTGGTTTTTAGGAAAGGCTGTGAAGGAACGGCATTAAAGCCTCCTCAGTACCTGATGACAAAGACTAGGATGCTAAATTCGGGAAAGGAATGGCAAATAAGACAGGAAACATCATTATACAATTGAACAAATCCATCATGCATCCTTCCTTTAACTTTGGAATTTGGTATAGGCTGTGTTTAGGAAATAGAGAAAGCCCAGACAGAAGATGGTTTGGTACCATTCCCACACAAGGAGAGGATTAATAGACTGGGGATCTTGAGCTTGGAAGAAAAAAACTTCAGGCTGAATTTGATAGAGCTCTTGTCAAGATCTTTGATGGAATGGAGATGGGTGAATGAGTGACTTATTTTTCAAAACTGCTTTGTGTTATTTGTTCTTGTGTTATCTGGCAAGATGCAGTATGACAAGCTTTCACATCCTCTTATAGAGACCAAAGGTATGAACAGGTTCAAGTAAAACAAAATTTTAAAAACCAGATGCCCAAGAACACTAAGGTGATTAAATTGTCCTCGCACTTCAACAGGCTGCCATAATTGCGATATACATTACATATGCAACACATTAATGAGTTTAGAGGCGTATTTGCCACCAAATAAAAATGCACCACTATCAGCTTTAAAAAATCTGTTCCATAGAGAAGTCTAGACACCAGATTTAGGGTAAGATAACTCAGTGAATATAAAATAATTTGAGGCAATATCAAATCTGTGATGTGTTATGATAAGATTTGGCATATTATCATTATTGAGGGGCTTCTTTGCCATGCTATCTTGTCCCTACAGTTGGAGAATTTACAACATTATCCTGTGTCAGGTGGGTCCCGGAAGAATTTATAGCAAGAATCAGTAGCCAAAACTTGAATGAGAGAAGATAAAAAATAGAGTTGAGAATTTTCAGGGGTTGCAAGGAGGAGTTGAAAACATGATTTGCCAAGGCACCGAGCAGCACCAGCAGACACCTCTGGAAAATTCATCTTAAGCTATATTTAGTACATTCAAAGAAATTGTGGCTCCCACTTGAGCCATTTCAGCTCAAATACAGATAAACAATAATCAGATCGCATAGGCTGTTTGCTCGTCTTGCGTAAATAAATATTTAACAGAACTGTGCACTTCTGAGTCATGTCTGGTTCTAGTGTCTGTCTTTCTAAGGAAGCCCCTACCTTCAAGCAGATTCATCTCTAACTGCAATTCTGTAGGTGTGCATTTGTACTTCATGTGTTCAAGTCCATCAAAAATACACTAGATAATGAAATTCTAGTATTGAGGGCTCTTAGTACACAAACAGCTAATGAGAGCCCTCCCCTGCAAGTTTTTTTTTAAATAATCCTTATGTCTTGTAATTACTGGGTTTTAATGATGGGGGCAATCAGTAACATTAATAATAATAACAACATTCACAATTTTTTTTTAGTCCTGTAATCTTAGAGCTTAGTTCTTGAACTTTTATCACCACCTTGTAGCTTGAGTGTGAGATACTCCCGAGCAACGATGTTCAATTTTTAAATGTTAATTTTTTTTCTTTTCGCTGATTTATACCTAGGTCAAATTCCTGTTCTGGTCCTGGGCTTTTTTTTTTTGAAAACTCACTGCAGCTTCATTTAGGACCTTAAAGTGCTACTTAAGCCACATCCTGGAAAAGATGAAAATAAATTCTGTCCATCTTCTACACAAAACATCCTTTCCGAGTTACCGAATTTCTTCCAAAGTACACCAGTTAATTTAATTTAATTTAATTTTAATTTAATTCATTGACATTCAAACTGCTCTGATCCCATCAGATTAATTCCACTAAAACCCACCTCGGGCCTTTCGCCAACGTGATGCGGCTATTTTTCTTTCGGGATATTATGGGAAGTCACACGCTACCATCCTAACACACGACAGTTCATGTGCTTTAGAGAGAATTCCTGGTAGCGTGGCACACGCTTAGCAAAGGGGGTTTGGTACGTGGATGTAAGCAATTTAACCTGCCTCCCGTTCCCCGCCGCAACTCACGACTTTGCTTTTAATAAATGGACAGAATTATAACAAATACGCAGGCCAAATGCAGGTTTCATACAGCCCTGTTGCCCATCACCCCGTTCAAAGTCTGCCTGCCAGGAAATTGCCATCTAGCGTTGATGCTGCTGGGGATCATCTACAGGGTATTTCAACCAGAATGCCTTGTACGCGGAATTCTTTCATTGAGTTTATTTTAGTTGCAAAAATATTTGCCGTCTGAAATGTTATCTGCTTATCTATTCAAGCCGTTAAACGGAAATATAAGTAAGATGGTCTGCTTTCAACAGAGATTTACAAAAATACTCATTACCTCCTGGGGAAAGAAAAAACAAAATGTGGTAAAAGACACTTGCAGAAAAAAAGTAGGGCATCTATTGCTGCTACATGTTTAATTTTATTTGATTTACTATACTTAACTTTTTCCTTTGTTGGCAAAAACAACCTTAGCTGTTGCTAACGCTGTTTGCCAGCATCTCCATCTGCATCTTTGGTTACGTCTTGGATCCATTCTCTTAGCATTTGCAGAATTCTGCTCGCATCCTCTGAACTCTTGGGGGAATTTTTCCCCTTTGGTGGTCAACATTCGCAGCAGCACGAAGTTACTCGCGTTGCGGGTGCCATTTGAAGACACCTGAGCCCAGTTACCTCTCAAGTGTCGTCACGTGCTCTTGGCGTTGCTGTCAATGATAAGGGAATGCCTCTGTCTCATCTCTCTCGCCCAGAGAAGCTGTGGCTGCCCCATCCCTGGGCCAGGCTGGATGGGGCTTGGAGCAACCTGGTCTGGTGGGAGGTGTCCCTGCCCAGGGCAGGGGGTTGGAGCTTGATGACCTTTAAGGTCCTTTCCAACTCTAACCATTCCGTGATCCTATGATCTTGAGAGGTTTTGGATTCACGCTCTACACACCCAACGTTGCAGTTCTGTCAGCAATACCAAATCCCCTTTCGGAGAGTTTATCTAAATTAGTCTCAGCTTGTGATTTTGCCATTTTGAAACTGGACTCTTCCTTATCTTACCTTCTGTAGATTATTTCTTTTGGGGGGTAGTTTCCACAAAGCACCTCAGAAAGCAGTCCATTTGGTCTCAAAGTTAGTGCTGTATTTGTTCCAAATTTCTGCCTGGCCTGTTTTCTGCTGGCGTTTACTTAAAAGCCTATGTATGTGCGCGTGTATATTTGTAACGCTTTCTATCTTGCTTGAGTTCAATTTTACTAAATCAAACAAGCTTTTCCCTTGAGCTTAATGTCCCAGTTGTGTTATTAGCACCGTAACAAGTCTGTTCGTAACAAGGCACATCCACTGCACATCTGAATAAAAGTAAACATCCTGTGTTTCTCAGCCTTCTGTAAACCCCAGCAGATGGCTGCTGCTTCTACAAACGGCGCTGAATAAGATGGCTCACATTTCCCATGCAACAGGCTTATTTCTGGAATCCAAGCCCAGAATACATCTTGCAGGTGGGAACGTTGCTTGAGCCACAAAGCGGTTGAGCCCAGGTCGGCCCTACACGGCAACTCTTCGTAGCTCAGAGGCAGTCCCTGCTCAGGACGCTGTCAGAAGCTCGTGCAGGAGATGGCGTGGGCTTTCTCTGCCTCAGCTCACATTCAGGAGACACGTGCCACAGGCGTGTGCGTTAACCCCATTTCCCTGCAGCAGCAGGACACTGATGTTTGCACTTAACCCCAGCTCTGGAATCAAGGGTGAATTAGCCCAGGTGAATCAGCAGCAATGCCAGCCTGAGACTTGACCCTGCGTGTCTATGTCTGTGTCTTCAGGGACCCATCCCAGCTCAATTTTTTCCCTTAAAAGAAGCAACAAGGAAGCTTCTTTGGCTGCAAATCCTGACAAGTAGTCTCTATTAAATCTTAAAAACAATGCTGAGGCTGTTTTGTCC